TTATTATATTATATTATATTATATTATATTATATTATATTATATTATATTATATTATATTATATTATATTATATTATATTATATTATATTATATTATATTATATTATATTATATTATATTATATTATATTATATTATATATTATATTTTATATACGAAAAAACAAACATTTTAAGTGTTAACCAAACATGCATTTACTATACTTGCTTATTGATATGTAAAATTTTAACTAGAAATATACACACTCAAATAACTTTCACAAAAAAGAAACAAATACAAAAAATGCAATTAAGAAATGCAAAGGATTTGGTACTGCGGCCATCAAGAACAAATTATGGTAAAAGAAATATCTTATATGAGGGAGCGCAACTACATAATAAACTTCCCAAAGATATTAAAGAAATACAATCCCTAATAACATTTTAAAAAGTTCTGAAATATTACATAACTACAAATATTGAGTGACACAATGACAAATATCTAAGGGTAGCAAATATACGTGGAATGAAGGATACATAAAAAAATAAATAAATAAATAAAAATATTTATTTATTAAAATATAAATAAAATAAAATTAAAAACAAGTACATAAATAAACTACTAGCACTAATAAAAGAAAAGTAAACATACCACCTGTAGTGATATAGATTTTTTTGTTATTTGTTGTCTTTGGTAAAAGTCTAAAAAGAAATAAAATTTTAATTAATATACTAAGCCACATCTAGTATAAGCAGTGGGCGTAGTCTGTTAGTACATCCATGGTTGCGCTTATAGTTAGCACCTGAGATCGTGTTGTCTGTTATTATATTAGAATGCCGGTTTATTATAATAATTTATTATTTTATAGTTGAACTACCGTCCTTGTACGCTTTCTAAAGAAAAAAACTGTAATAATATGTTCCTCTGTGTTCTCATGTAAGTGAGTTATTTATAATTCTCAGTGAGAATAAATGTCTTAAATGTCTTAAACCACCACATGATCAACAGACAATATCCAAAGTCATAACCAACAAAAAGAAAGAAATGGACTGTATTTATTTCTATTCAGTGGAGAACTTGCAAAACGAAACACAAAATACATCACGAAACGTAGTACAAAAACCAAACTTACCATCGCTATCGTAAAGACCAGAACCAAAAGCAGAAATAATAAAGTTGGCCTTCAGCTGTAGAATCTGGTCTTCGTCTTCGACCCAGTCACCGTGATCCTGCTGCTCGGTGCGACACATTTTAATGGCCACGATCTGTAAAATTAGTAAAAACGATTATATACCCAAAACAGTGCAGGATAGCTGTTAGCAACTGGCTGGTGGAGTAGCTCGCTGACAGCGACGAATTAGTCATTGTCAGCGAGCCCCTGCACCAGCCAGTTGCCAACGCTACTGCTGAGTTTGAGGCTTATGCTCTGGTCAACAACTCTCATCGACGCGGACGTCTCAAACTGAATTGATGCAGTGGTGTCCAGTGAGCTACTTACTGCACCAGCCATTTGCCAACAAAAGCAAACTTTCTTCTTACCTTGCCATTTTTGACTATCACTTCTTTGGGAGACATGAATGGAACGAATTCACATTTCTCTTCTTTTGCCAAGTCCACCTAAAATAAATAACATCAATTGTAAACCAACTATACCTATAATAAACACATATAATTTGTATAAGAATAGTAGTTAATATTTACATTTATTTGTTCCGCCACGAGCTATAAAAAAAGGTCATATCCATTGTATAATAAAATCACGTGTGGGACCACACGTTAAAAATGCTTTTATCACATGAAAGTCATAAAAATAATACGAACAACATGAAAAAACTCTATTATATAAAAAAGTAATCAACTAATTTCGTTTATAGAATTTGTAAACGATTCTCCTGAAAAGTTGTAATTTTACAGGTGTGACCTTATTACGCCTCGGATGTGATATAACACTTTGAAGACAAAATGATACAAGACTAAGGGTCGTATTCCAGAACTCTACTCAATGCTCAAGTCAGGATTTGAGCAGACTTGAGTATGATTTCAAGCACTGCAAATACGACCCTAATGGCAAGGACTTGAGTATGATTTTCAGTGCTCATTGCAATACTCATGTCCTGACTTGAGTATTGAGTAGAGTTCTGGAATTCGACCCTAAGTAAAGTATAATGATGTCGCACTCGCGTTTTATCATAATTCTACCTCTAGTGTTTTTTAGCTGACTATGTTATCAATGCTTATTTACTTATTCAATTACTATCAGCAGGGAACTGTTTAGGTACTCTTGTTATTCCAATTTCAATTATTTTGTAACGTAGCTATTAACGATTAACGAGCAACAGGCGACTTGGAACCTTGTGGTGCTGTAGAATTAAAAAAGGCTGCCTTCTCTATATTTTTAATTTCAACCTTATTCTAATATTATATAATCGTCGTTATCATCATCATCAAAACATTTAGTTTCCTATCCATATATATCCATAGGGCTTGGGCCCTAGTCCGCTACGCTGGCCCAATGCGAGTTGGTGAGTTCATACGTTTTCCGAGCGTGAACCTTCTTCGAAATGCAGGTTTCATAACGATGTTTTTCTTCACCAAAAAACTCGTGGTAATTTTTAAATTAAATTAAATTTCGCTTTTAAAAATTTCAGAGGCTCGAACCCACGGCCTCTGGTTGAGAGGCAGTAGGTCTAACCATTAGAACGGATATAATATAATCGTGCATTGTATTTATTGACAGACCTCCTCAGGTACAGCTCTAATATTAGTGAAGCCCTTCCTAAAGACGACGAACACCCGTCTTGCGCCACAACGCAGCGCAGACGTGGCGCAGTCGAAGGCAGTGTCGCCGGCGCCGAGCACGATCACGTTGCCATACAGTTGCGGCAACGATATCTTGCACACGCACATACCTGTTAAAACAATTCCATTGATATGTCGCACCTACGGTGAAACACAGAATTAACTGCAAAACTTGAGAAATTACTTAACAATGTTTATACACAAAGGCTCCTGTCACACATCATGCATTCCTTTTTTTCATGGAGGATAAAATGCTTATTGAAATAGTAGTAGAAGTTTCAAGAGGTCTTCAAATGTGTTCAGTACCCTAAATACAACAGATAAGACTTGTAACTCTTTTTCAATTTTTTTTCGCAAATTTATGTTTTTTTTAATAATACTAAGTGACGGCACGAACAAGTCGTGCACCTGGTGGTAAGCGACACTATTGTCCATAATAATTGCGGTGCCACTCAGAGCTTCAAATCGCAAAGATTGCAGGGACACTGCCACTGCACCCGTCGCCTCAAGATGTAAGTTCTCATACACTAAAGGATCTGTTTGTAAATTGCTCTAACAGAACGCACAGCAAAGACTCTTTTCAAGTCAGTGGCATTTCCTCATAGCAAAACGCTGTATGTCATCAAACTCTAATAGCGATTGGCACTGTAACTGTTAAGGACAGGCGTGTAGCTTACCATCTGGCGCACGACTTGTTCGTCCCGTCACTTGATATTGTAAAAAAAAGATTTCGATGTTTTAGTGCTTATTTGCTCTATACAAGGTCAAAATTCCGAGTTCTATTGTCTTTAACCCCCGTGACTCACACTCTACAACTCGCGGTGTTTTCAAAATTTGCTCTTATGAAAACGATAAAAGTTGTCGTTTATTTATAGGGCTAGTCTCTAAAAAAATTCAACAAATCCATTGTCATCGACGCTGCGTATTTTTTCTTCAAAGTTCATTCATTACCTTTTTTGCTACCTCGTGCAACAAGCGGTAGGAAGTCCTTGCTGGTATAGAATCCCATTTCCTGCGTGAGGCCTTTGAACACGGGAATACTGTTCGGTTGCGGAAGGCCAATGCCGAGAAATACTGCTGCATGTTCCTTTAGAAGACCCTGAAGAAAATAATGGATTATTATTAATATTGACCACCATAAGTTGGACTCTCTTACAGACTGTGAGACACAATAAGAGAAATACAATCGACCAGTCATGGGGCATTTTCTAAGTTTTTTTTTATGAAACCAAGTCATGCGACGAACATGTCGTGCGCCTGATAGTGAGCAAAGCGCTTGCCCATAGCACTTGCAATATCACTCAGAGGTTTAAATCGCAAATATGCGGCACTGCCACTGCGCCCTTCACCCTGAGACATAAGTTGACAATTCCCATGTGCCTGTAATTTCATCAGCACCTTTACCCTTCTAAACCGGAACGCAGTAATGTGCTCACACTAATGCTTGGCGGCAGAAATAGGTAAGGTGGCCGTACTTCCCTGGACGAACTCTTTCACACGGAGCTCTACTAATATTGAAAGTGACATGTAGAGTACTTATTGAGGCTTTCTTTCCACAATATCTACATACATATATAAAGATGATAGATATATGTTAGTATTACTTCTTTGTTGGTGGCCACTAGGCTAGTGCTAGCGACAGTTTTATAAGAATAATATAAAAATTATGGCGATCGTCGCCAGTGTCAGTTTTTCGAGTTCCGAGTCTTCTCTCGATACATATATACAATTGACACCTATTTCCTGTCCTGATTTATATTATTGTCAAAGTCAATGTTAAAGAATCATTTATTCCATAGGTAAAATTTCTTAAGTAAAATAAATTACACTTTCCACGTGAAAAATCTAATCAATCAATCTAATCACACTGTGTGAAAACAGACTGGCACAAGCCTAGTGACTATAAAGGCGATAAAAATTATATATGCAAGAAAGATTTATGGCGATAAAGGAAATAATAAATAAATTACACTTGAAAACATTTTTTAAGCTACTGCTCGTTCACTGTACTGATTTCTGCGAAACTCTAGGGATTGCTCTTGTCAAATAAACTTACATACTATGGAATACACTCCGAATTCCGAATCAAATTTGTATAGAATCTTGACCCATATCGTCTTTCCATACATCTTTTTCTAATAAGTAGTCTTCAAATTTGTTTGTAATATGACTTTTCAATTAAAATATTTTTAAATTTCAGTGTAGTGAGATACGATAGTATAAGTTAGCATTTAATACGCACGTAATGTAATAATACAAAAGCCTCCTCAAACATATTAAAATTAGTCATTTAGTTACGGTAAACGCACTTACTTGAACCGTAAGATCTTGAGTGGAGAGCTTTCTTCCGGTCTCGAACTTGACTCCAAGGTTTTTCACTAAGTCAATTTCATATTGCACTACATCGTACGGTAGACGATATTGAGGTATTTCTGATGAACTGTAATTTAATTTTCATTTGACTATATAATGCTGATGCTTAATATTTTATGTAAATATTTGCTAAGTAAACATCAAAATTACTATAGTATAACAATAATAAAATCGTTTATTTATCGCAACACATTAATAAGTGAAAATAAGTATAAGCACTACACTGTTTAGTAACAACAATAGTAGTGTGAGATTAAAAGGTCAAGGTATATTTAAATGAAGATGATAAGTCCAAGTGAACCCTAGAGATTACACTATTGGTATTGGTATTGGTGCAACGGGCTGGTTTCCGCAACTCGACGTCGAGGCGCCTATTTTGCGTGTGGAGATTACACTAATTAATAACTTGCGGACACCAGCCCGTTACACCAAGTAACTTCCTCATATACCCTCAAACAATGGCGCTAGTCAATACAAGTGATAATCCTCATTGTACAAGATGGCGGACTGAAAATGATGGCCATAAAAATTATTTTTTTTTGTTTTGGGTCAAACTCTACTTAAAATATATATTTTAAGTAAAAATGTCGAAATGACGAAATACTTTCATAGATTTCTCATAGATGGCGGTACGGCGAAAAAGTCGTTGAAAAACCAAGTACAAATCGGCCGGATCGAAGGAATTTTTGTAAGTGTTCGATAATTATACTGTCTTTGTTTGTTACTTTGTTGAATTTTTACTTGCATACAAACGTGGTGATATCACACTTATAAGTTGCAAGTAAAAAAAACGAATAATAACAACTCACCTAAGTCCACCAAGGTAGGACTCCTTTTCATAGATAGTAATATTTTTATATCCAAGTCTGGCGAGGAAACAGGCACAGCTGATGCTGGCTGGGCCTCCACCAACGAGCGCGATGTTCTGGTTACCACCCTTTGGTAAGGGTTTGGTATTTGGGTCCAGTGTTTGTGGGATACCCATCTTCATAAAGGTCTGTGAATAATTATTTATTGTATTTACACGACATAGTAAATCACTGCCGTCTACAAACTAAAACGCGGGTAAGCGACGAGTTGTTAAATATCTCTTTTAAATAGCATAGATAGAGCTCAAAATAAAAGAGCTTAATTAACGTGTACGACATATCGTAACTTACCCTTTATGCTTAGCTAAAATATCTTTCAACAATTCCAATATTCTAAAACCAAGTTAAGTAAATCATTTTGTCACATAACCGCGTGTTACTTAGCGGTCTAGTCTAGTTAATACTACAAAAAAATTCCCGATTATTGAAATACTGGCTGGCGCCCGTGACTTCGTTGCGTAGAATAAGTATTTCGAGTAGTATATTAATTTTCATAGTTCTGTTGGTTCTCTGTACAAACTTTCACTCCCTTTTAGATTAGTAGCACCCAGACTTATTTTTGTGACAAGAAATAACGTTCTCCTAGGTCCCTTCAATCTCTATACCAAATTTCATCAGTATTGGTTCAGCGGTTTAAGCGTAAAAATGTAACAGACAGAGTCACTTTCGCATTTATAATATTAGTTTGGTTGATTGCAAAAATAGTCTAGTCGTCTCACGTGAAACTTATTGCACCTTTGAGGTTATTTGAATATTTCTTAAGGCGAATCGCCTCAGGAGAAGCAGGAAAACTGTTTTACTAGAAGAAATGGTTTAGGTATTTTCTATTAATACCAAAACCATAAGTATACCATACACCTAAGGATATTGTCTAATGAATGTGTTAATTTGTTACACGTTAGGATGCACTTTACCTAATCATATAAAATCCTGAAAACAGGTTAAAATAAAAGTCGAAAAAAAAAACTAATTATATAACAAGAAAATATCTAACTAGGTTCATAATATTGTATGTGTATGTCAGCTATATATGTAATACTAACATTATTTGTATTTTTTTATTCACATTTAAATTTTAAATTTATTGTACAATAATTAGTCCCGCAAACTTCATTTTTACACCACGGCTAAGGTTGGCTGGAAGAGATCTCTTCTAGAGATAAGCTCACCTTTGCACATGTCCTATGTAACATGTGTTTTATGTGTCTTTTCTTTGTACAATAAAAAAATATTATTATAATTTTTATATCGAGATAATTTGTCAATAAGTACTAAAGAGAACCTGCTAAATTTTGGTTTTCAACTGAAGCCCTATAGTTATTAAAATCACATTTATCCCAAAACTTGAAAATTGCCCAACAGTTTGACGACAAAGAGATACTTTACAAGATTTACCTCAACAGCGAAGTGCTGCAACCCGCCAATGTTAATGGCGCCTTCCTCAGAAGCCTGCAAGTTGCATCCGCCCACGCACAGATCGCTGGTCGGACACACCATGCCGCAAGTAAGACCCAACGGGTTGTCCGAAAGGATTGCTTTCGCTGCGCCATAGTAGTTCTACAAAAAATGTTGGTACTTATAATTAAAATAACTCATATACTTTTTCTTCAAATTTAATAAAAAATAATCTTTCGTACAGAGTTCAGTACAGGGGTTCATAGGTTCGTAACGACGAAAAAGCAGGATGGTGATATACACTTCATGTAGCGTTATCTCACAACGATCTATTTTAGGTCCTAAACTGAATAGTATTAAGAGTTCATGGTAAGGCCCCCGAGTACAAAAAACCGACCTGAAAAATCATTCATTCCCTACTTTGCCACCTTTAGAGATGTAATATTTTCTTCAAATTTAAATAGGACCACTACTGAGGTACCCTCTTTCCAACAAAAAACACAAGTGCCGAAGTTATCGTGTAACATACATACAAGAAAAAAAGACATACAGTCAAATTGAGAACCTCATCCTATCTTTAAAGTCGGTTAAAAATGAGGCTTACATTTTTGTTTTTTCGAGATTTTAACGCACAATAAAATAAGCATTCATGATTTACTGATCCCACTATGTGGTCTGTGGTTGATCCCAAGGACCATCGAGTAAATCGAGACATTTAATAGTGGTGTAGTGAGAAAGTGAATTCTATTTATTCAATGGGTCTTTACTGCATGAAACTGATTGAATATGTTTGTACTTACCGTCGACTAGAATAATAAAGGCCTTCAGTTGCACTTAGTCGACTATGTACTCGTATATTCTAAGTTCTATTAAAAATAAAAACTCTAATATGGTCGTGGTAGATTAAAATTAGATTAACATGCTTACCCTGTTTGCAATGCTGGTAATGAAGCTCTTGACGTCAATCTGCGTAGGGCAGGACTTCTGACAGGGTGCGTCCGCGCATTTGAGGCACCGCGCTGCTTCTTTGAGGGCTCCACGTTCGGAGAGCGTCGTATGTTTGATGTCATCGAAGTTATTTGTTAGAGTTGGACATGTCTGAAATGATAAGCTTATTAACATTTACCGCACATATCACTTATAAAAAAATTACTTGTGGATTTAATACCGAAACATGGAGTCGTCATTTTCGATATCAAGGATCTAATTCTTCTAAAATTAAAAACTTCGGCATAAATGTGCAACTACATAAGTAATGTACTTATGTAGTTACATAACAATATCATTAATGACTAATTCAATAATTTTCTTCTACCTTTTTTAATAATCTGTAGTGATATTTATTTATGATTATCGTAATAGTCTACTAATATAGATATTACAAAATATTATCAGTATCCATTACTACTCCACAGTAAACTACAATTTATAAAAGTAATAAAAGACAATGACGTATCACAGTGTAAAAACATCACATCACAAATAATTACAGCAAAACAACGTCATTTGATACCGCGCATTAGATATATTAGATAAGGCATAGGACCTTACAGACGCCTGCCGCTCGCACGCTTGTCATTCGCGTGAAGAATATCGCATACAAATTTTTGTTAAATTTACGTTATACCTTTTAAACGATTTTAAAAAAGATACTAGGTATCTGATGTTGATAAAAAGACGGATTGTATATGATGTTCTGAGAGCCCCAAAAAATTTAACGGTTTTAACCTGGTTTTAACACTAGCATGTTCTTAAAAACTTAATTTTCTCCTAGGAATAAGTGCCAAATTCTTACACTGCCTTGGAATAGAATTCTTGCGTCACCGATATAGATAAATATTGTGAGCTTACATTGACTTAAAATGGTATATTATGCTATAGTCGACTTGCATTCAATTATTAGGTTTTGGTGTAATAGCTGGGTCAATATTAAGTAACGTTTCAAGAAAAAAAGGTCTTTGCCCTACAGAAAATAGCAATAAGAAGCATGGTTAGATATCCACCCTGGGAGTCACGTAAACCTTACTTTGGACAGCTATCTATATTAATAGTTTCTTGTCTCTATATTTTGGAGTTATTAACAGGCGTAACTGAATGTTCGTCTGAATTTAGTAAGGAGACCGAGTTGAAGAGGCTTGTTACTAGGAGTAAAAACAGACGTGATGTAATAACACCAAAGGTAAATATTGTACAACACAATCCAATGTACCAAATAACAAAAAAGATTAATAGTCTCTCCTACTGAACTTAAAATAGCACAGGATCCTATCTTTCAAAAAGTCTTTGAAACATTTCTTGTTGGAAAAATTATTTTACCATGTTGATTTTTTATTTTCTTTTTATTTTTATATGGTAAGCTACATGCCTGTCCGTAACAGTTACAGTGCCAATCAGAGGTTTAAATTGAAAAAATCTGAGGGACACAGCCACTGCGGCCGTCACCCTGAGACATAAGTTGACAAGTCCCATGTGCCTGTAATTTCACTAGCACCCTTACCTTTCCAAACCGGAACGCAGTAATGCTAACATTACTGCTTGGCGTCAAAAATAGGTAAAGTGACAGTACTTCCCTGGACGAAACTTTCACAAGGATCTCTACTGCTGTTAAGAGTTCTCATGCCAAAAAGTTTTGACGTTGGCTCCGCCCAAATTTGTGAAACAAATATATGCCTGAAGTTCGCGTGACATGCGACAGGAGATGTTGAATTTTGCGCATTAAAAGTACCAAATTCGTTTTAGCGGAATAACTCTAAAACTAAAGGGATTAAAAAAAATCCGTAGTGACAATTGTCGATCATGCATAAATATAATTAATTATCTAATTTTTGTCCTAATAACCTGTAGCATTTCGAGGATAAATCGAAAAAATATGAAAATTAGAGGTCATTTCGTGATTTTTATCTATCGAGGAAACTTTATTGTTTTCTGTTTCTGATTAATGTCTATGCTTGAATATATCGTGTAGTTACTCATACAATATTTTATTTTTAACTTTAAAGTGGATATACCCCTCTAAAATCAAATCGAAGATTAGGAATTTTTCCTCTGTTCCCTCTTAAAAAGTGACAAGGAAATCTAATTTGACATTGTATTTATTCCTTATTATTATTGTATTTCTTCTTACATTAGTAATTCGGTATAATTGTGTATTATATTCGGTCTCTTGCATTTCATTTAAGATTTTTAATTATATTTTTTTCCAACACAATCACTATTGTTAAGGAAATAAATAAAGATGAAAAAATGACCAAAACTTACAGTGCATTTCCTATCAGCGTTTCTCTTCCAGTGCTGCTTGTTTTTCTTGGTTTCAGCAGTGCTCACCAGGTTGGTGTACGGCTTCACTGTAGGATTCAGCCTTAGAAGATTCTGAAAACATTACAATCTAGTATAAACCCCAGGAGCTAGTTAGAGAGAGAATGGTTGTTTGATAATTGAGAGATTCGTAGCTCGGTCCCTGCATCGGCTTGTACCAATGACTTTAAATTGTTGGTTACGTACATTTGTGAATGTTGAGTAGGGTACCTCTCGCTAATTACAAAGTAAAGCACCGTGAAGAAATCTGCATGTCAAAGAATCACAGCTCTTAGAAACCGTGTGGTCCTTACAGCCCCCCACTGGGCGCTGAAGAGTCCAAGGGGGGCGGGCGCGGCATCAGAAGCAATTGGGGGCGTTGATCTGTCCAGGGAGCATAGCGGCAAAAAAATCTGAACTGTCTTTATAAATTACACTACATAATTTTTTTCCTTCTGATTTTATTATGTTAATATAAAAAATACGTTTTTAATTATTTATTTGTGGTGGTAGACGCTGAAATTTTACTTTACAGAAACCACGTGCCCAGCAGTGGGATGCTTCTTGTGTTGATGATGATTATAAACTTCAATCCATAGAATTTCAGCCAACAATGATAATTAATGTACAGCTTACTTACTAAGTACTTAGTGAAAGATGAACACTTTTTGAGTTGAAATTTAATTGTGTTATTTTACAGTTACAGCGGCAATATTTGTTAACATTTATACTGGTGTAAAACCAGCTAAGCATTCTATAAAAATCACTGACCGCTTAAACTCTCTCTTCCTTCTTTATGTAATAAAATGCTTCTTTAACAAGTTTGTAAATAACAATTTACTGTAAAAAGTTTTGAGATTCATGTAGAGCCGATTCTGGCGTTCTTTTCGCCCTTGACTCTCTATTCGCAAACTACACAAACACTATAATATAAACCTCAATATACAGTCGTAAGCTTAGTATAATAAAGCCACATTTGGTACTGGACTGGTCTTTGTCAGACAAACATTTTGCGATCAAGCGGTGCTAATCTCCACGCAGTGTACGATAGCGTGTGTGGCGTATTCAGCGGAGTGGTGGTCCACACCGTATTAGTTTTTGTTGTCACTCACGTGAAAACAATCTAGAAATAAATGGTATAACTGAGAATAGATCTGAAAACTTGGTTTCAATTGTGAAACAATTATCTAACGCCTTGTCTGTACCACTTAATGATAATGATATTATGATGAGCACAAGAGTGGGGAAATTAGACCAAGATAATAAAAGACCTCGCGCTATAATTGTGAAACTACTAAATACAAAAGCAAGAGACAATATGTTGGCTGCTGTTTCCAAATTTAATAAATCAAATCCAACAGAGAAGCTTACAGTAGTCTAGGCTCTACTCTATGAGTAGAACTACTGGCTGAGTGAATATAGTTTTGTATTTAGAATGTGTTTAAAAAATAGAATAGAGAAAAGAACATCTTGGCAGATCTAAAAGTAGCCTCAAGAAGTAAAGATGTAAAAAATATAATAAATATCAAGTTATGAAATTGATCCCAGTTTATATTTATAAAGTAACTCTCGCTACGCATCCTAAGCTACGTCTCTAGGTTACACTACACACCGGTCACCTGGGCTATGGTGGAGCTAAATCTTCTGTTTTCATATCAGAGCATTTGTCACCTTATTTAAAAAGTTTACACGCGCAATCAAGACCAAAAGCCCGCGAAAAGGGTTTTAAATACGTTTGGGTCCGTAGTGGACGCATATTTATTCCCAAAGATGATAACTCTCCAGCTCAACAGATAAAGAATGTGGAGTCACTGGCCGCCATTTTGTCATATTAACCGTTTCGTCATTCTTGGAATTAAGGCCGTATATCAAAATATAGAATTCAATATTTATTACTAAAATTTCCGTGGAATGTTGAGTAAACTGCAGGATATAAGGTTGGCAACTTTGAATAATAATTACGACATAATTGTAGGTACGGAAATATGGCTAGATGATTCTGTACAAGATAATGAACTTTTTAACAACAACTACGTAGTATTTAGAAGAGACAGGTGCACTACATCATTGTCTGGGAAACCAGGTCCAGGTGGTGGGGTATTGATTGCCGTATCGAAGACCTTACAATCCAAGCGAATGGTCCACTATGAAAGTGATCTGGAAGATTTGTGGGTGTCAGTGACACTGAGTGAGAACAACATATTCAAAGACATTTTTATCTGTGCTGTTTATTTACCGCCTCCAGTTACAATAAAAACTCTAGACAAATTCTTTAGCAGTATAAGTTATGTATTGGAAACGAACTTATGTGAATCAATTGTACTCGGCGACTTTAATCTTGGATTCGTGCAGTGGACAAAAGATTCTGTTGGCCAATTAAATCCTAGTAATTATTCCTGCAAACTTGGGTTTTCTCTTGTTGATTTTATGTCTATAAACAACTTCTTACAATTTAATCATGTCAAAAATGTAAACGACAGAATTCTGGATTTAGTTCTGAGTAACATTAATGGTATGTCAGTCGAACGTAGTACCGATATTTTAAGTAAATTAGATTCGCATCACCCCGCATTAGACACCGTATTAAATCTCAGCAATACTTTGGCTCTTAAATCTCAACACACATATAACTTTAAAAAAGCCGATTATTTGCAGGTTAATGCGATGTTAAGTAGAGTGGACAGGTTATTCGAGTTGAGCTCTGTGGAAGATGTCAATTTCATGGTTAACAAATTTTACAATATACTCCAATCCATTATAGAGTCAAAGGTCCCAAAGGCTAAGCGTAGAAATAATAAGTATCCGTGTTGGTTTCCGCGGAATTTAATAAGGATCATTGTATAAAAAGAGAAAATTCGTACACGGCACAAGCGGTACGGGAACCCTCGAGACTTATTTGAACTAAAATTGTTAACAGCTCGGATTGACAAGTATATTACGCAAAGTTATTCACAACACATTAGACGAGTTGAATGCAGTATTCGTGATAACCCAAAGACATTTTGGACTTTTGTTAAAGAAACTTGTGTTAGTTCATCATCGATACCTAGTGAAATGATGAATGAGGCAAATGATGTCGCTCGTACTGGTGAAGAAGTGTGTAACCTTTTTGCAGCCTCAATCTACACACACAGCGTACCTAGTGCATCGATCAAAGCCTCCCAAGTACCACACAACCAAAATTTCCCCCAGGATTCAATGGGTACCATTCGTGTAAGCGAGAGGAAAATATTCAAAGCCATAAGCAAGATCAATCCTTCTAAAGTTGCAGGGCCAGATGGTATTCCATCCTACTTCATTAAAAAGACTAATAAGTATTTAACACTGTCTCTAAAAATTATATTTGAACTGTCTCTTAGAACTTTTTTCCCAAAATTTGGAAGTCTTCTAATGTAGTACCTATCTACAAAAAAGGTAATAAAAATAAAGTTGCTAATTATCGTCCAGTTTCAACACTAAATCAATTTTCAAAAGTTTTCGAAAAGGTAGTATGTCTGGAACTCACGAATTACTCTAATAAAATAGTTAATGAGAGGCAGCACGGTTTTTGTAAAAGTAATTCTACTGTTAGCAACCTAGTTACTTATATTACGGATTTAGCTAAGGGTGTGGATAGTGGTGCTCAAATAGACGCTATATACACTGACTTTAGCAACGCGTTCGATAGAGTAGACCATATTATTCTGTTATCGAAACTACATGACTGCGGAATTCATGGATCATTGCTGCGATGGTTTGAGTCTTATCTAACATGTCGTATGCAACGTGTTACTATAAATGGTTTCCAGTCTAGATCTTACGCAGCTCATTCTGGAGTGCCATAAGGTTCACATCTTGGCCCAATACTCTTCAACTTATTTATTAAAGTCATTTCTGGCTGTATACGTAACTGCGAATATTTAGTATATGCTGATGACCTTAAAATACACAAAGAAATAAAAAGTGTTGAGGACATTAAGTTTCTGCAGGCTGATTTGACGGCTGTGGCGCGATGGTGCAAGCACAATAAAATGTTATTAAATGTAACCTAATGTACTCATATTAAGTTTACAAAAAAAATCAATATTGTTTCCTCTCAATATTATCTGGATAATCAAGCACTCAGCGAATCGACTGACGTGCGAGATTTGGGTGTTCTGATAGACAACAAATTAAGTTTTAGTGCCCACATAAATAGTATAGTCAAGAAGTCGTGGAAAATGTTAGGGTTTGTGAAGCGTACTTGTAAACATTTCAGAAACGTACACGCAATTTTAACATTGTACAACTCGTTAATTCGGCGCACTCTTGAATATGCGACACCAATATGGAATCCGCACTACCAAATCCATGTAGATAGGATAGAACGCGTACAACGCGCATTCACTCGCTTTTTAGCACATAAAAATATACAATGCCCGTATAGAGCAGACTACGGCGAGCGTCTGTTACATTTCAAGTTAGAGACATTAACGACTCGGAGACAAGTTTTCGACCTAACTTTCCTCTATAAGGTTTTACATAGCCAGCTAGACACGTCCCAAATAATGTCTCAAGTTAACTTGGCGATACCCAGAAAGATTCCACGTTACCGAGTGCGAAATATATATTTTCGGTTCCTGTATCTCGTACTAATATAGGCCATTTTCTCTCCACTTTACCGTAGCATAAGAACTTTCAATAACGTAAATACAGACGTGGTTGACATCTTCCACGAATCATTACATAAGTTCAAACGGAACGTAGCAACTGCTTTAAACTCTTAAGACGCCACGTCTCAGGGGTTTTCTTTTATATTGTTAAATCATTTTTTAGATAGTAGTATTTGCTCTTTTTTTTCTGTACAGTTATTTTGTTTACATTTGCTTTTTAAATTAAAGTTTTTTTTTTCTTCGTAAATGCTGTATATGCCTGGAATGGCACAACATACTGCATAAAAAATTATATGTTATAACATTGAAATTTCTCTATGTATGTGCCGATGGTGTATCTAAATGAATAAATAAATAAATAAACAAATTGTATATTTATCCACTAATGTATCCAAGTTTGTTCGTAGGTACTCGGCATGGTTCGTTATAATAGACTAGAAGTATACAAAGATTTTGCATTAGCTCAGATAATTTTTAAAATACTTAGAGGGTTAATCTTTAACCCTCTAAGTATTTTATATTGGAATACACACTTATTTGTGCGTGCCGAACGATTACATTGTGCCTTACAGAGTGCCCTGCGGTCGGACTAATTTAAGCCAGAAAGCCCCGTTCTCACGAGCTTTGCGAATCCTAAATGAAGTTGTAGACAGAATAGACTTGTGCTCGTGTGCTCTGTGTGAGTTCACAAGAATATCACTTTACTTTATTTGCGATGTACCTATATTATATATACAGAGATACCTCTTCGCCGCGGGGGCAGAAGAGAGGTTATGACGTCTAAAACGCCGCGGTGGCCTTCTGAGGTGGCCACAACAGAGTGGGAGGGATCCGCGATCGGCTTTGCGCACCAGAACCCTCGCAGCACCTGGGAAGAGCTATGTCCTCCCCCTCCTCCGCCTCAAGACAATGCCGGCCACACCGCCCCCTCGTCCTCCTCGCGGCTGCCAAACTTACTGGCGAACGGAGCCCCCGGTCCGATCACCCGCAGCCGCGAGGTACGCCGCCGAGCCAGGGATATAGTAGCAATAGAGTTCCTTGTGAAAGAGTTCGTCCAGGGAAGTACTGTCACCTTACCTATTTCTGCCACCAAATGTCACCACCAGAAATGTCAGCATTACTGTGTTTCGGTTTTGAAGGGTAAGGGTGCTAGTGAAATTGCAGGCACATGGGACTTGTTAACTTATGTCTCAGGGTGACGGGTGCAGTGGCAGTGCGCCTCAGATCTTTGTGATTTAAAGAGCTGAGTGGCAATTCAACTGTTATGAACAGGCGTGTAGCTTACCATAAAGCGCACGACTTGTTCGTCCCGTCACTTGATATTATTAAAAAAAGACCCTCTCCCGACCGCGCTCGGCGACCTAATTCTGGAGCATCACCCCTTCACAGAAGGAGGCCACTGCCTCTTGAGACTGTTAATCCGCCAGCATAGCTACTACTATGCCAGGCGGAGAGAGATCTCGCCCGATCCGGGCAATAAGGGGTTCCGCTCGGAAGCCCACGCTGGGCGTGGCCTTATTACTTAACCCAAGGGTGCGAATTTCTTACTTGCCAATCACATACCAGAAGAATACACTATGCTTCTAAACCGCTTATATTACAGAGTACGTAGTCATTTCTTGTATGGCCAACATGATATGGCCCAGTGATTTGTGTAGATAAGTGTTCAAATAATAGAAGTGTGTCGTAATAAGTTCTCAAGGATATTGATAACCCCAGAGTAAATAAGTGCCAAATTATCGAAATATCGTTCGACTATACCGATAGCTACTTTGTAAAACTGGACGTAGCTGAACGGCCTTGCGTTTACGTCTGTGATCAATATCTAGTAGTATTATACGAATTATAAACAATTCCAACGTTTATTTATATTGGTGTTAGCTAAAGAATGTATTTATCAAGATTTTGTTTTCGTGAAAATATTATACTTTATGTGAATTCGCGTCATGATCAAATTGTTCATCTAAAAACTAAACACGTATCTGTTTTAGAGAAGTAAAATTTAAATAAAAGGTAATTTTAAATAGAACGAAACTTGAATTTCATTCAAGATTAAAGTTTTCACAATCTAACGATTATTTTGTGTCAAGTGAAATTGTTCAATTACTATTGAAAGGAAAATATTGCTAAGTACTCTATACAATGTTATAATAGTTGTAGAAGCACAATCCATTTCTAAATACGTACATATCAACTGATAATGTATACAAGCTAAAGAGTAAATAATATGTACCAATATATACTAACCTCGATATCAGGTAATTCCCTGCTCAATAACTTCGCCATTTTAATTCTGACTTTACAACATAAAAATTAGACACAATTTCCGATTAGCGATATTTTTACAAGGAAACCACACGAGTGGACTACACACTGGTAGCGCCACCGAAGACTGAATAATAATGATGAATTAACCTTGGTTTATCTTTTCTATGACCGTTCCAGTCAACTTTGAGCTACGACATTGAAATAAACCTATCACATATCGTACCAATGTTTTTAGATATTATCATTATTACTGTTTGGTTATTTAAGTTTGGTTATTGTTTCCGATTTCCATAACACAAGTGCTTTAGTTATATTGGGATCATTATATTCATCATATTAGACAAATGTCTAATATTTATTTATTTTAATTACTATTTACAAAATTGTACTATGTTGAGTGTGAGCGTTATTATTATTATTATTATTATTATTATTATAATTATTTTAGTTGTCAATTAAAATTTTATCATTACACATTTGCACTGTTTTTGTTACAACGTTTGTTATTATATCATATTTGAAACAAATAAACTAATTGGGTGAATATCTCATGCGTAAATTTTGCGAGTCCAGGCTGAGAAACCAGGTGTAAAGTGAAGAAATATTAATGAAGTCTTCTTTTAAGTATAAGTTTTGTCTTGAATCAATAGGTATAGTATTGTCCATTAAAATACTCTTCTGTTCTTTATGATTGAAATCTCTTCAACAGTATTTATTAGAAATTCATATATTTCTCCGAAGATCTCAGTATTGCTCAGTACTGCGCGAGACGTCCCTTTCCCATTGACTTACAATTATATGGACGTCGGGTCCGCGCTAAAAAGTGTCCGCACTTGTAAGGCGCTAAAATCGTATACAGAGCGCGACACTCCGCTTTAGTCTTCATTTGTTCTACTGACAGCGCGATACTGAGATGACATTACAATTTAAATTTCGAATAGGTTGACTTGGGACATTTTTTTCGTGGTTTTTGTATTAAACCCGTCGTCCATTTATTTGTAAGTCAATGCCCTTTCCTTATAAATTTCAGTTAGCCGGTCCATCGTGATGGTTATTATTGATGACATTAAAGATTAAAAATAAAATCTTTTTCTGCAAATAATTGCAGAGTGCTGCAGAACCAAAAACAACTGCAACTGCAGAAGTTGCTTTTTTTAATATTTGTGAATCAAATAACTTTTCCTATTGCTATTTTTCAATTTTTTTATTTTAAACCACAACCTCAGCGCTGTATTAAACATAGTAAGTTTTGATGGAAATAATCCAGCAAGACGCCTCCTCTCACGTCGCCTCGACGGTGGAAAAACACCAATATAGCTCTGATATTGAAAGTTGTGATCACTTCAAAACTTTATAATGGCTTCGCAGCGCTATGAAATCTAAAAGAAATTATGCAAAATATTCTTCCGTAACACCATACTAATCATTTTTGCGTACGTTGCCGGACAATTACTTTTTGTGGATTTGCTCATTTTGTTTAACTATTTACAGAAAAACAATCATTGGTCAACCAATAATAAATACATAACTTTACCGTACATTCGTGTGCTTTATTTCAGTGTGACCGTAATAGAATTTTTCAATTTGATTGGACCGGTGAAAAGTCATAGTCGATTATAAATTATAATATTTTATAATTTTTGCAATTGTAAAAAAGTATATTAAGTGAGATTAAGTCGATCCGATTCCAGCGTGTTAAAGTTCTACTTTCAGAAAATAATAAAAATCTTAATAAAACTCTTTTCTAAACAAAGAAATGACTAATTCTGGAATTTAGCAACAGCTTTTTTTACTTTTTATTTTAATCGGAACAACAACATCTTAATAAACAATGTTTTAAAATAAATATTTTTAGGTAAAGCTAGCAAGCGCCAATTACAGTTATCCACATTCTCACTTTCATATAACTAAATCATCGTAATAATTAAAACATCAAAAAAGAAAATAAAAAAATAAACATAAATGCACCTACAGTTGAAGCATAATAAGAGTAAATCGATGTGAAGTATGCAATCTTGACTTACACAATAGCGTGCATTAAAATAATAATGTAAATAAATAAGCATAAACCAAGAAAATAAACCAATTCTGCAAGTGGTACTAGTAGAGATGGGTCATGGATAAATATCATTGGAATAAATAATCAGGATAAATATCATTGACTTACAATTATATGGACGTCGGGTCCGCGCTAAAAAGTGTCCGCACTTGTAAGGCGCTAAAATCGTATACAGAGCGCGACACTCCGCTTTAGTCTTCATTTGTTCCGTAGAACAAATGTAACAAATGTCCGTAGACAGCGCGATACTGCGATGACATAACAATTTAAATTTCGAATAGGTTGACTTGGGACATTTTTTTCGTGGTTTTTGTATTAGACCCGTCGTCCATTTATTTGTAAGTCAATGATAAATATCCATTTTTACTCGATATTTATCCAAAAACGTGGATAAATATTTTTTATCGTGGTTTATTATTTATATTGAGTAAAACAAAGTTATTTTTAAAACACTTTGTGTACCTATACAAGTATAAACATTTATTTATTATGGCATGTGTTTTAATTAATAGATTTTGTGTGTGAAATATGAAAGAGAATCTTTAGACTATTTGAAGTCCAAACATGACTTTATTTAGTACGCAGTAGACCCCAAGGCCATAAAGTTGGGTCGCACTTTATTAACACAGAATAGGTCAGCTCAAGGGTTACAGGTAATTTGATAACTTTCTGTCAATCGATTTTTTTATACCACTCGACTCGTAAAACGTAGATAGAACAGTATGGTTACATAAAAGAATGGTAAAAACGTAATTATTTAGTAAATAAATAAACTCTAATTAATTTTATTATAAAAAATACAAAAAAATCATTATTCATGTTTTAGGATAAATTTACTCAGTAAAAACGGATATTTATCGGATATATCCTTAGACGGACATTTATCGGGTAAAACCCATCTCTAGGTACTACGCACTATTTTCAAATTTCAATTATATTCAAGTAACACTGATTCACGTTTAGATCGGATCGGATCGGATCGGATCGGATCGGATCTAGTGAATAAATTTTTGATTACGCATAATTAATTCATTATTCATAATAAAGCACGCTATAATTAATGAAATGAATAAGAACAGAAAAGAGTGGTGTATTTTTTAAATAATCTGACTAATGCTAAATATACATAGATGAATAATGCCGCGCGCGGGAATTAGATTTACCCAGCGCGAACACTAAAAGGGCACCATTTTAGTAACAGTATAGCGCCTTGTGAAAAAGTTAGCCAAGCGGTAATGTAATCATTACTCCGTTCCGGTTTTGAAGAATAAGGGTACTGGTGAAATTACAGGTACATGGGTCTTGTCAACTTGTGTCTCAGGTTGACGGGTGCAGTGGCAGTGCTCCTCAGATCTTTGCGATTAAAAGCTGTGAGTGGCAGTGCAACTGTTGTGGACAGGCGTGTCACTTGCCATCAGTCGCACGACTTGTTCGTCCCGTCATTTGATATCATAAAAAAAACGTTGAGACTATATTGACCTGGGCCTTTGGTTCTAGAACCGAGTAAATCGCGACTTCCTAGAGCTCAATCATAGATTAGTTACGTGCTGTGGTTCTCAAGATTCAAGAACGATATGACCGGCATAAGCTTATCTCAGGGTGAATAGTAAAAACACGCTTGTACCTACAAAACGATAGATCGATTAAATGTTCTTAAACTTATTTTGTGATTACAATCGGCTAATTAATGACTTTTTACCGAACTAAACCATTTTTTTTAAACTACGGCATGATCACGTTAGAATAAGGCACCCCGCGACCCCCCGAATCGGTTCCCGCCTTGTCGTGGCGGGGGGGGCGGGCTCTACTAGCCGTGGTCGATTTCATCCCACGGTGAAGCTAAGAGGAATTCACGGGCCGGCCGATGGAGCTAGACTGGCCCGAGGAGGAGGGCGTATCGCGCGGGCTCGTCTTGATCTAGGCCGAGCGGGTCCGCGCGGACGCATGCGGCGAGGAGGGTCGCGGGGGTAAAGACGTGTCGGTGTGTCGTTGTGGCTCGTCCTATCCTCCGCGACTCGGGCGGGGCTGCACTGCTTAGGGTGCAGACGCAGTCGTGGTGGGACCGCTGGGGAAGAGATGTGTTGGTGTGTCGTTGCCGCTCGTCCTGTCCTCCGCGGCCGAATTTGGGCGATTGGCCCGTGCGATGGCCGCTCCAAAGGACTCTCTACGGAGAGTTCACGTGGATGCGCGTAGGGTGTTGCGGCGGAGCCTACCAACAGATCCGCCGCGGGGGCTGGGGGAGCATCCTCAGAACTACTCGGTAGCGGACTCGGGGGAGTTCGCTGCCCAGCATGGAGGGGCCCGAGATGGAAGGCTCGTCTGGTGTTCGGCGAGCCTTACATTTGGAATCAGGGGACCGTTGTGTCTCTCTTCTCGGGGAGGGGCTGCGCTAGGCGCGGCCAGCCTCTGGTGGAGGCGTGGACGAGCAATAGCGTAGCCGTGCCTCTACCTGCAGCGGAGAGGAGGAACACCCCGGGGGTTTGGTACGGTTGGGTTGCTCCCCTTCAGGGTTCAGCCCCACATAACCCCGGCAGATTCCCTCGGGTAATAAAAAAAAGTCACCCCGTAAATTCAATAATGTCAAATCGTAATAACTTCGCTTTAATTTCTCCTGCTATTGTGATTATTTCGGACTATAATTTATTTACTTTACATGTTGCCAGTGGAAATTATCAGTGCAGAGCGATTTTTGAAATTATCAGTGCAGAGCAATTTTTTGAGACTGAAATGCTGGCTTAAGATCCAACTAATGCAAATACAATATTTAACCCTGAAGAGCCTGGGAAACTTTAAAAAGCTTGATCTTTTAAACATCTCCTTGCCCCATCGATGGACAAAACAAGCAAAATAAAATAGTAACAATAGTCTCATCTTTAGAAAACACATTGCATTGGATATAGAAGATGTGATTAGAAATGAAACAAACATTTGAACAGTTAATACAAATATATTTTGAATTATTCAGAGGTTTTATAATGTTTGAAAGAATTCTCGACAGCGGACGCCAACCAGATGCAAATATATGCACAAAACGCAGCGATCTTACTATTTATTGACCGAATTGCCTGAAATATGTTAAAATATAGGATTGACCGTAGGCTCAAAAACGACAACTACATACAACACATATGAAGCGTCATTAAAATAGATATTTATTTAATTATTCACCCAAAAATAGTTTCCAATTCCCCAATCATATAACTTTTTAAAGACAAAGTTTAGTAGTAGCATGAGGAAAAGCAAACACCTTTTGAAACAATTTGTCCAGGGATTTACTGCGACCTTACATATTTGTGCCGTCAAGCAGTAATGTGAGCATTACTGCATTTCGGTTTGGAGGGGTAGGGATGCTGGAGTGTAATTTCTCGGCACATGAGACTTGTCAACTTATGTCTCAAGGTGACGGACACAGTGGCAGTGCCCCTAAGATCTTTACGATTAAAAGCTGCAACTGTTATATACACCAGTCTGTTCGTCCCGTCACTTAGTATTACAAAAAACACACATTGCAAATTTAATATTTTATTTAAAAAAATATATTATAATGAAATGTCACAATTCAAAACTCCATACAAAAGTTGACTTCGTTCCAAAGTGACAGTGCGCGCGTTGAATATCGGACGTGGTCAACGTGCATAATAAGTAGAAAATTATTAATCATTTATTTACACACTAATTTAATTTTTGCATCTGAACAATACGTTAAAATCTTAAAGCTAAAACGCAATTGTTGAGGCCTATTCAAAAAGGAAGACAGTAGTCGTCATCGTAGTGAAAAGTACGAAATTCACAGTGTTTTGAGCTACGTCAAATGGAAATTTCTTATCACCGTGTAAGCTAGCTATGTCAGTCGGGGCGTTAAAAGAGATGTGCATTAACACATCTTCGCTATCGTATCTTAAATATACAGATATTTAGACTGCCTCTGTGGCCGTACGGTTGCCATGCCGGACTGCCACGCAGAGGTCCCAGGTTCGATTCCCGGGCCGGGAGAAATATTTATATGGCCTACATTTATTTCTCTCGTGAGTTTGGGTGTAATTTGTGGTTGTCTAAGGATCGTATTCTAGAACTCTACTCAATGCTCAAGTCAGAATTTGAGTATGGTTTAAAGCACTCGAAATCATACTCAAGTCCCTGCCATTAGAGTCGTATTTCCAGTGCTTGAAATCATACTCAGATCTTGATTTGAGCATTGAGTAGAGTTCTAGAATACGACCCTATGTGTGTGTGTCCATAGAACCCGCGACACAGAATTTCCCTAGTGCGGGGCTATGTTGAGTGTGTGCGTTATTATTATTATTATTATTTAGAGTACTCTGACCGGATAGTTTATGATAGTTATCGATAATTGCTAGCAACAGCATCGTTAACTAAATAGTTAACGATGCTGTTGACAATTTTGTATGACAATTTGTACAGCGCCCCTAGCAATCACAAAAATTAACTTTTGACTTGAAATCACCGAGTAACTTGTTAAACCAGATGATTAGGGTTCTGACAGCGCACTCAACTCAACATTAGACACCACGACTTTGATCGAAGTTAAGTACGAAAATTATCATAGTTAGCTTATGTAATAAAAATAATGGTGTTATATTTTATAGTAGCGCGCACGCCCGTTTCTTCTTGAGCGACGGTAGAGGCATAAGCCCGACGCGTGTCGCATCATCGAACACCGTATTTAGGCCTTCCGTTGTTAACGCAGAACACTCGAGGTACTTCACTGCCCCTATCTTCTTCGCCATACCAAGGCCCTGGAAATACAAACATTTGCACAAGGAAATGTAAACAATGAAAAAAAGACGCTAATGTATGTTGAATGGGTGCTACGGATTTTAAAAAGAGCGACATGCTCACGTACTGTTTCAAATTGTTTTTATATGTTTTAGGTGACTTATTCTTCGGGATGGCTAAAAATGACAGTTAGCGCCCAGTTACACGACGTGAAAGTTTTCGCGTGGCCGAGTTACCACGCTTTCACGTACATTAATGGCGAATCTGAATTCTATTTACTAGGAAACAACATTTAAATACAACCGCGCGGAAGCCGAGCAAACGCAGCGTAGACCAAACACAAGTCAGTCTCACCCGCGTGACCTCATTTAAGTCAAAACGTAAAAGCTAAACAAATGGCGGCTACGCGGTTTCCGCCCGGCGAGAACGAGAGAAATTCGTGTCGAATAAACGCGCCCTTCTCTTATTTCTGTTTTTGGATCATAATTGTGTATTTGAAGACCTTACTGAGTACATGATTATGAAAGAAGAATACGGCTATATAGATAAAAATGCTACCCAATTTAAAATGACGTCTAACAGTTACATACTTATAAAAGTCAGACTACACTCAAGTTTTTTTTATGATACTAAAAATGGGACGTGGTCGTCTCGTTTTTGGTATCATAAAATGTCGTGCGCCTTGTGTTAAGCGACAGTCTGTATTAATTGCGGTGCCACTCAGAACGCTATATCGCAAAGATTTTAGAAGCACTACCACTGAGACATTGATTGGTAAGTCCCATGTGCCTGTAATTTCACCAGCACCCTTTACGCTCACATTACTGCTTGGCAGCAGAAATAGGTAAAGCGGCAGTGCTTACCTGGACAAACTCTTTCACCAGGTGTTCTACTGCTACTAAAATTACTAAACTTACCTGTGGATATGTGATAGGCGCAAGCGTTTTGTCTTTAAGCATCTGGACGGTTTCCTTATCCTCGCGAAGATCCAGCTTGGTTCCAACCAAGATGATAGGTACCAACGGGCAATGATATTGCACTTCACGAATCCACTAGAAGTTCAGATTATTTAGAGCAAAATATTTTATAACATTTTCATTCAATTAAGCAGCGGGCGGTATAAGCATTTCATGATTTAATTTGAGTTCAAATTATATGGTACATTGTAACTGTATTACCTATATAATTTTTTAATGGTTCTTTCACGATACCTATAGAAAATAGTCAACCTACGACCATGGGTTATGAAACCGCTCTGAAATATTGAGAGAAATCTACACAAAATGTACTATGTCTTTAAACAAACAATCCAAAAAAAAACAAATAAAACATTTTTTTTTATATGGAGATTAACGAGCTTTGCAATCCGTATGTTTTAAAATAAATTTACGAAAGACCGACAAACCACGGCCCTCGATTTGTAGCTGTTTCATTGTGTGATTTTCATAGTTCATATCCCAAATAAAATTAAATTTGTACGGAGCGCCCTCGCAGAACTATGACCATAAATGGTATTGCAAAAATATTGCGATACAAAATAATGTAAAATAATATTAAATTTGTTTATTTCTCCCATAATAAAGAACTACAAAATAACAGATCAGAGCTTGCATGTTATAAATTGTTAGATAGGAGACAGCTAAGATTACCCTAGAACTTAGGACTCCTTGATTGTACAAGTCCGTTATTTAAAAGATAGCATGGAGTAACTTGGACTTTTCCAAGGCATTTGATTGTGTGCACCATGATGTTTTAGTTGGTAAACTTTAAGGCCGTTAAGGTGTGGAGGTATTTAACTGATTACAGATATAGATCGATATCAACCGTACGAGATCTTGAGGGTCTGCAATTAGCATGAGTGTCCCTCAAGGTTCAATTGTAGGTACATTTTTATTTTTAATTTATATTAATGATTTACTTAGCCTCTTTAAGGGTATAAAACATGAGATCTTATCGTTTGCTGATGATACTTCCTTATTTTTCAAAGTTATAAAGGTGCCTGAGTGTAATGTATTGTAACATTAATGAAAATTTAATTTATATTAAGAAGAATGGTTATATTGTAATGAAAAATAGTTATTCATATAAAATTAATACGAGGAATAAAAATAAACTGGTTGTTCTTGACAGTCATCTGCACAAAGTCACAAATTCATTTACGGGGCAATATACGTTTATAAAGTGTCGATTCATATTCAAAATTTGTCATTCAAGATATTCAGAACTACCTGCTGTGAAACTAAAATTACGCAATAAAAGTTATCATTATACGGCTTCTACGTACTTGGATGACAAAAATTCATGGTAGTGACTCTTAGAGTATGGAAAAATAGTGACCTGTTAGCTTTTGCTGATTGTTATGACATATCACATTTCAAATAAATATTGTAAATGATAAACGCATACACATTTTTATCAATTCCAATTCTTCGTTAGATCAATTATATTGTGTTTTTATGTAGTGGTTTAGCTTTTTATGTTAGATAAAAAAAATTTAATCCTTAACCGTTGTTATATCAAGACGAAAGCGGGCACACTAGTTGAAAGAAAGAAAGAAGGAAAAAAGAAAGAAAATAATATTTATTTGGTCTCTTTTTTTTTACTAGTAATAGAGTAGCCTGGTCTAAGATGACGCATCCGATAAGAGTACGTAATGTAGATTGCCGTGAAGTTATTTACATTAAGCAACGAAGTTCATTGTCATTTTGTAGTGCTACGAAGTGGAGATTGTTGTGCGGAAAAATTATCAAAAATTATTGAAAACCAAGAAACTACCTAAGTCTGAGCATTTTGATATATTGGCATAAAAGTTCTTGGTATTTTGAAATGGTTACTGAGACTAAACTAAGCATATCTTTTTAAAACTGACTCTGTATGAAATCGTCCTAAAACTCGTCTAGAGGTCAAACAGCATACGATTCTGGTAACTTGCAACATATGGGGTTAGTAGCAGTTTTATTCTGAAATGGCTGAAGTGTGCAAGAGTACGCAACTCGCCGTGTTGCAAACGCTACTGAACGAAGAAACAAGTAACAGGCGTTGAGGCGACGTTTCTTTTGCTTGTTTTTAATTAATGATTATGATTTAATGCAATAAACTAAGTATGCATATAGTGAATTAAACAAAGAATGAACCTTGTTATACCAATGATATGATATGACACAGGTCAAGTAACAAAAGGCTTTTAAAGAGAAACAGACATACAAAATTTCAAAAATTATAAATAATAACCGTCACTCAAACAATGGAAGGACAGGTGGAAAAAATTCCTTTTGTTAATAACCTGATACTAACAGAAGGGGAGCAGAATATTTTCAGTCGACAACTGCTAATTGGGGCCACAGCAGATGACTATTAGTGTTTCGTGTTTTCTTGACAAAGTCTCAATAACTGGCGTCTATTGACCTTCTCGAATAATATTGCATTGTTATTTATTGCCTAAGTTTGTTACATGTGTGTACATAGGGCGCACTATAAGATTCCGGAACTGGTCACTTACATAAATAATATTTAAAAAGTTATTACAACATTTGAAAATGGAGCTCTTTGGCTGTAGAATACAGTTTATTTCATCCGACTGTCACTTGTTTTTGCATTGTGGCGTCATTTTAGGCTTGGTTGTCTACATCACCATGGATTTAACTCGTGAAAATTTTCGTAGTATGATTTTCTACGACTTTGCTCGGCTTCAAACTGCTTTTAGCGATGAAGCACCATGCAAGATGACTATTTATACTGGTTTGCAGAATTCAAACACGTTCGTGTGAATCTCAGTGACGAATTTCGTGATGGTTGCCCGTCCACTGCTGTGAACAACAAAAACATCGATGCTGTGCGCCGTATGATCAAAACAGACAGGCATGTGATATACCATGAGGTTTGGGCATCTTTAGGCATAGGCGTGATTCAAATACAATCAATACTACACAAACATTTGGGTGTGAAAAAGTTGCACAGTCGGTGGACACAATTTGATTGAGGCTCAAAAACGGATCGCGTCACTTGGTACAATGCCATGCTTACCAGATTCAACGAAGGGGCGTCAAATTTGGTGTGGAACATAGAAACAGGTAACGAAACATGGATTTATAGTTACAATCCCAAAACAAAGCAGCAATCGAGCGTATGGGTCTTTCGAGATGAGCCGAAACCAACCAAAGTGGCGCGCGTGCAGTCTCTAAGCGGATGATTGCTTCTTTTTTTAGTAAAACTGGACACGTGGCTACTGTTGCTTTGGAGAATCGTTGTACCGTGAATAGTGATTGGTACACGACCATTTGTTTGCCGGAATTTATTGCCCAACTCCGTAAAAATTACCGTAAACGCCGTATCATCTTTCACCACGATAACGCCAGTTCTCACACGGCCAGACAGACAAATGAATTTTTGAAGGTGAACAACGTTGACCTTATGAGCCATCCCGCGTACAGTCCCAACCTGGCACCTTGTGACTTTAATTTATTTCCAAAAATTATGAACCAGTTACGCGGTCAACGATTTTCATTACCTGAAGAGGCTGTCGAAGAAAAATATGTTTCAGAAATTGTCACGGAGGAGTGGCATAAACGTTTTCAAAATTGGTTCATTCGTATAAAAAAGTGCATTAACGCTAACGGAGAATATTTTGAGAAACAATAAATTCATTTCTGTATTTCTGTCATTAATAGTATTTTTTCTTATTCATTCTGGAAACAGATTATATTGCGCCCCACGTATTAACAACAAAACGTTTTATTTGATAAATTTCTTTAAATACTGAATTTTCTTCCATCATTAAAGAAGAAAAGGATTACCTTAGTTCGAATATTCTCGAAGGACGTTGGATCAACGAGCGAGAAGCACATAAGGAATACATTAGTCTGTAGGTAACACAGTGGTCGAAGTCGGCCGGCGCCGTAGTCGTCGTGACCCACTGTATCCCATAGTCTCAGGTGGACTTGCTTCCCGTCCACAGTAACATTTAACGAGCCATCAAATCTGGGAATATTAAAACCGCTTCTTGAAAAGAGCAGGCTTGATGATAAGGCTAATAAAATTTATTGAAATATTTAAATAGATTTTATTTGATGGCCACGATGGCTCAAGGTTAACACTATAAGTCCTATCTCCATATGAGAAGATTCTGGGTTTTGGGAAACTACTTTTCTAAATTGATTCTGAGTGTTCTGGGTAGTGCGTTGGGGAGTTTTGGTTGCTCTGATACTCATATTAGGGAATTCTCTAGTTTGAGGCCAATTGGTATAAATGGCTGCTTCGTTATTATTGTTATGAAGTTAGACATTAATTCAAAAAAATCAATTTTTTTTATTCAAAACAAGATCAAATTTATAACTATGACATTCATCATCAACCCATTTATACGTCCCACTGCTGAGCACGGGTCTCCTTTCAACTATGACATTGATAAGTATAATATCGTGAAACTAATTCAATAAAATATGCGGTTTGCTTCGTAATAGCAAATAAAACTGTCCCTATGATAGAATACCAAAGTTATGAAATAACTACGGGCCAGTAGCCAAAATACCCCGGACCAATTTAGAAAAGCGCGTTTCACAAATTGGTTCTACTGGCAGTCGAAGACCAGGATTTTGAAATCATTCGCCAATAGTGCCAACACCGGTGCCACTGAGGCCGACAACTTACGACAAACTTATCCCGTTTTTTGTTCAACTAGTAAACTAGTGTATGTACTATTATTATACAGGTCCAAAAACGTTTTCTGTATAATGTTACTTACACACAAAGTCGGTAGTCCTCGGGGAACTCATTTGAGACATGTGTGATGAACAGACAGGTTTTACCGACGCCACTGCGAACAATGGTGCCAGAGTTTTAGGTACAGTCAACAGGTTCGAATAACGCCTCCAGTGTAACGGAACAAGATCTGTCAATTACCCCTTCAATCAAATTCGATCAACCCTTATTCTGAAACCAGACGCGTCGGGAGACGTATTTATCTGGTCCAGTAGAGCTTTGGTCTCCCTATCACCAACCTTTGCCAGTTCATTTGCTGTCTCATTACACGCGATGTGGTGGCCAATAACCAGTAAAATATTAGACTTTAAGGATATCCTGCAAGTGGAGTTATTACATAACAGTCTCAGTATGCCGTATGATGCCAAAAGAGCCTATTAAATTAACAGTACAAAATACACAACTTACCTTCCTATGTGTTGCAATCATGGCAAATTGAATTTTTGTTGTGATTCAGTGTCATGAACACTATCGTAATGACTACACCTTTTTGTAATAAGCCGTATTGGTTTAAGGGGATTTTCACCGCGTGCGTTTTTTTATCAGAGACATTTACATTTATAATAATTATCTATTATCCTACTCTACAATTACTCAATAAATTATTCAAGTGAATAAACTCATAAATCACATATCAACTGGAAGTCGATATTTAACATTATAAATAGGTATTGTTCAATACGCGTAAGTTTAAAATTATTCCTTGCCTGTCGCTCTACTCCGCAACAATGTAACTATAATCTCAGTACAGCGTACTAAAACAACCGGTTGGTTGTTTTAGTATCCATTCATCCGCTAGTTTGCCACCCTTAGGGGTGAAATATTTTCTTCAAATTTAAATAGGGCCAATACTGAGATACCCTATTTTGCAACAAAAAAGAATCATCAAAATCGGTTCACAAACACGAGACTTATCGCGTAACATACATACAAAAAAAACATAGTCAAATGGAGTCCTGAATTTTCCTCCTTTGATTTAATTTTGATTGAATCCTCCTTTTTGAAGTTGGCTAAAAATATAACTTGAGTTTTTTCAAGGTGAGAACGAATTAACACGCTCCGTCCTCGATCACATCGGCTCTTGCCATCTGATGAGATTGTGGAGGATGAGAATGCTTGCCTATTCGAAAAAAAACATTAGAAATATTCCGGATTTAAATCGCGTATATTTGTTTTTTCAAACAAACCGACGTTTCAGGCCCTTTACAGGTCCCATGGTCACGGTTGACTGAGGTGGTACAGTCTTCAACCAGTTATGTCTAATATTGATGCAAACCACCCTATTTTTTTCACTATAGTTACAATAGTTATTAATTAAATACCTTATTTTTAATTTTACAAAGAAAACATTCCAATTTACGCTACATTAAATTTACAAATTATTTTATTGAATGAATTTTTATTAAGTTCAATTTATTATTAATTAATAATAGAAATTAGAACAAACTAAAACATATTAATTAGTACTGCAGTCTTATGTCTGTTTAGGATTTTTCATTACAGGAAATACTGGATCCCATACTGGTGGTACTGAGAAACCATCTTCCCTGTTGAAATTAGGATGTTTTTTAATTTCAATGACCTCTCGCAGCATCCTGAGTAGATAACGGACTTCTTTTAAATAGTTTCATTTCCTATGTGTAACAATCGCGAAAACCTAAGAACTCGATTAGAAACATTATTATCTGTCAGCCTGTCTGTCACGTACTCCCAACAATTAAATCACGCGAGTTATCTGTACGTGACCGGCCATGGTCCATGACTACGAAACACGCTAACGCTTTACCACATTCTGTTAACATAAGTTAATTTAAAAACTCTTCCGAGTGTTTGTACTAACTCTAAGACTGCTAAAGTGAAGTAAAACGTAAAGTAAGAAGTATTTAAAAGTTAGAGAAGCAATAAAAATGCAAAAAAAAAAATAAAGATGAAAGACACAAAGCTTGCAATCACATTTTATAACAAACTACAAATAGTCTACACTAAGTACTACTATACACACCACAGACCACTTAAATACTAGTAAATACACACAGTATACAGTACTATTTTCATTAATCATAATGTATGCCATACATAGACACGGATAGACAGAATGGGGCTATTAACATTATCGTCCTCGTAAGCTCATCTCTGTTGCTGGGATACAGCAAAAAAAATCAAGACATTTCAATTTAAAAATGATATATAAAGAGCTTAGAAAAAACTTACGAATCGCCGACTGCAACGCATTTTACGAGCTCCATTTATCTGGTTTTCTTAACATTTATCACTATAACAAAACCAAATTACCTAGTTCACTGGGAGGTCTTGGATCTTGCAATCAACAATCTTATAATGAACAGAATAGTTATTAGCAGGGATCCAATTAATCGATGACAGAATTGAAAAAACGTGAACAGTATTTCTGGGAAAGAACTCCTAATATTCTATGTGCAATTTCCAAATTATGTTAAGTTTTTCCTTAACTCATAACCTCAACGTACGTGTTATACACATATATGTGGAGATGTGAGCGTGTGTGAGTTGAAATTATGTTTGACGGGAATGAGGATAATTACGTTTAGATTGTACCTAGGTAACTATGTCGGTACTCAGTAGGTATGCACCAACAAAGCTGGCAACACTACACAATTTGAGCTGTTTTTATCGTTTATATTATTTCTAACACTTAGAGCAAGCATAATCAGAGGCACTGATGGCGTCAAATAGAGTGACTGATATGAAAACTTCTACAGGAATTGTAAGTTACACGAGGAGAAAGTTTTCACGCAGCCGCCGCGCGGCGACCGCCCAGTTACCACGCCTTCATCTACATCAGTAGTTCCCAAACTTATTTTTCTCGTGGACCACTTTCAAAATTTTACTGGTGTCGGTGGACCCCCTGCTGCTACATTTCTACCACATTCTTAAAGCCGCCAAAAAATAAAAATTGTGTCGTTTTTGAGTTCTGTCCCTATATTCCGATAGGTAAAATAAAAACGAAAAATGGTACATTTTATAACATTTTATTTATTAAAAGAATAGAATTACAAGAAAAAAATAATAAGGTAATATAGGTTCAGGTTAGAATTTTAATTAATGGGAAGGATGTATTTGACGAAGTGTCAGCAAACGATCAATGTTTGGCTTTATTTTTGTGAGCAATAATCGCAAATCCCCCCGCTCTGTGATGTTTAATTTGCTCCTTTTTTTTGTTAAGAGGTTTGTAACGGCACTAAAACTCCTTTCGACAAGGTATGACGAGGGAAAAGCTATTAAAAATTTCTTTGCGATTTCCCACAGTCCAGGATATTTTTCGGGTATTTCTGCTTGCAGCCAAAATGTTTGGTAGCCTTTTCTAAATTTCACCTTCAGCTCCTCATTGGTGCTTATCTCGAGCAGCTCCTCTTGTAATACAACATTGGCCACTTCCGTTTCATCAAATTCAAATGGATTTATGATCCATGGTGGTATATCCATCGTCAGCATATCTTCAAACCTGGTTTTAAAGTCATCATGCAGGGCACTTAAATGTTGACTGTAGGTATGGATATCCTCATCAATACATTCTACCTGCGACAAGTTTGGAAATTGAGAGAATTCGCGCCGACTAATGTTTTGCTTCATAAATTTCAATTTCCCAAGAAAAGCCGAAATTATCCCCTTTGTTTTTATTAAATTCAGGCTGTCCCCTTGTAACTGCAAGTTGATATCATTAAATTTTTTAAACAAATCTGTCAAATACGTAATGTCTGCTTTGAATTTGATCAAGTTTTCTTTTAAATCTGGATCTCTACTTTCTAGGAACTCTAATACGGAATCGAAAACAGAGTAAAATCTCGTTAAGCATGCGCCTTTCGACAACCAGCGTACTTCAGTATGTAAGAGCAGTCGTTGGAAGCCTTCATCATTTTCATCGCACAATTGAGCAAATAAACGCGTATTCAATGCATTGCTTCTAATTTTGTTGACAGCTTTTATTACAAAATGAAGAGATCGGTTCAACCTGTCACTTAAATGTTTTGCCACAAGATGTTGTCGGTGGATTACGCAATGAATAGCTGTAAGTCCTGGTATAATTCTTTTGAGATGACTTATAAACCCACGATATCGCCCGACCATTGCAGGAGCTCCGTCTGTTGCCACTGAAATAATGTTTGTAAATGGAATCGATTTTTCCGTAAAAAAATTACTCAGAACATTAAATATTGATTCGCCTTTAGTGTCAGTCTCTAAAGTTCTGGCAAATAGCAATTCTTCGTGAATTTCTTCCTCCATAATAAATCGGACATATGCCAATAATAATGCATCATTACCGGGTAACGTTGACTCGTCCAGTTGTATAGAAAAATGAGTTTTTTGCAGATGATCGCACAAAAAACTTTCGATATCAGAGCTCATTTCATCAATGCGTCTTTGAACAGTATTGTTACTTAATGGAATTCTTTTTAGTACGTCAAATGGAGATTTGTGCAAAACAGTTTTTAAAACCTCTTCAACAGCGGGTAAAATTAATTGTTCTCCGATAGTGTGCGGTTTTCCAGATTTTGCTATAAGTAATGAGATATTGTAAGATGCCCGCAAGCCGTCATCGTTACTTTGAGATGTTGAAGCGAACATACTGTGCATGGTGGGTCTCTTTTCATATTTTTCCTTCAATGTTTGAAAATATTTTAAATCTTTACCTATTTTGTCAGTATGACACCTTTTTAGATGATCTTCGAGCTTTGATGGTTTCATAGAGTCATTGCTCAAAACGTTGTTGCATAATAGGCACATGGGCAATTGTTTGTCTGCCTCTGATGGAACAAAACCATATTTCAAATAATCGACACTATATTGTCGACATTTTTTCTTTGCTGTAGCCATGTTTCGTGTCAGTTACCTTACCTGTAAAAAAGAATGTTTTAGTAACCAAGTTTTTTTCTGAATATAGGTATCACACCGCAGCCTTTGTCAGCACGCAGAAATAGAATTACGGCTTGTTAAGGGGCCAACTAATAACCGCTAAGACAAATACAGACGTTTTCACAAAACGGTATCAATTTTAAAGTACCTAAATTACCACTAATTTTTAATAGTACAAATAAAAATGGGTGTACTCAGTATCGAATACTGATCATATTTGTGTAGGAAAAAATAAAAGTCGAAATCCCAAAATTGTCCATAAAAACGATAACTAACATTTCATCAAATCAATGATGTATTTGCGTATTTTTTGTCTGCGCCTTCATTGTTAAAACGTGACTTTTTTATACTGTTTTATAAAATTAGTAGTTATTTGCAAGAAAAATTGAAAAATTAATTGCTATTGCTTATTCGGCCTTTTTAGAGAGGCAGTGCTTCTCTCGCGAAAAAACAATTGAATAAAACGTGCTGTGTTTGTCTTCAAATCGAAAGAGGACAATTAAAATATCTGTAAGTTCCTAAGTTACCTATCTATACAAGCAGTTGTGATCAACCGACTAGTACACGTAAACAAAATACATAAGTACTATAACAAAAAAAAAGGTATTTACTTACTTTTCTCCGGCACTAACAAACACTGATATAAATTATCTCAAACCTTTTTTTCGAAATTCCGGAAACAAATGAATGAGTTTGCCTTTGGCATCAAGTATTTATAGTGGTGATCAAGTTCATGTCTGAACAAGCATTAAGCATTGTCGGGCGGATAGCGCTTTGCAAGTCTGTACATGTACGTACACGAAATTGTACGTAATATCGAATACGCAAGTTTGGACAAGTAAAAGTCGCTTGCCTTATTAAAATATTATCTGCTTAGTTATGTACTTAAAACAATGTAGGTAAGCCCTTATAAAACTATGCTTACATTTTTGCTCTTTACTATCAAAAGCAGATAATTTTTCGTGGACCCCCATTAACATCTTATGGACCCCCATTTTTTGTTCACGCCTACGTAGACCCCCAGCAAGTCTCCCGTGGACCCCTGGGGGTCCACCTGGACCACTTTGGGAATCACTGATCTACATGAATGGCCGAATCTTAATTCTATTTACTAAGCAGCAACAGTTAAATTCCTCTAAATAGTACAACTGCCACCAAAGCCAGCTCGCCCGCTTTCCCTTAGGACGCTCATTTAAGTTAAAACGTAAAAGCTAAATAAATAGAACGTATTTTGCCATAACAATTAGACGCACGCGGTCGCTGCGCGGCGGCGAATCCTCGCGCGGTGTTAATTCGTGTCGAATAAATGCACCCTAAGAAGATCCTTTTTAAAAATTTGTCCACTTCCTGAAGCAAGTATTACAAGTTGAAAGGCAAGCTTTGGCTGAACGGCCGGCGGAATATTAACGCATGAAGACTTATTTTTATAAATAGCGCCTAAATTTTATAAAGAGCCATTATTTTAATGGTTGATTTCTGCTATGCTCCAATTTGAGGGTTTTTCTCTAAATATACTTTAAGTAGTGACCACCGATTTTTATTATCTCCTGTGTTAAGTCCCGTACAGTGGCGAACTAGGGGATGAATCCAGGATAGCGCACTTTCCGGTAACCGATTTTAATAAAACTTGGCAAATAGATGTAATTCCACGAACTTTTGAGGTTGGTTTTTTTAGTACTCTGTACTGAGATTATTATCATTATTAATCTTATGTGCTAATTTAAAATAAAGTATGTAGGTATTTAAGTTCCCTTCAGTTCGCGGTTTGCTGCTGTATCTATTTGATATATTTGGCAAACAATCGCCATGTGTAGATAGCATCCTCTGGGCTCTTTCCGGCGATAGAACATGTGTTATAGAAGCATGATGGGGAGGCCCATCATCATCAGGCGAGAGTTTAGGCCATAGTCCGCCACGCTAGCCCAATGCGGGTTGGGGACTTCGCGAATTTTCCCAGGGTAGTGAACCTCATTTGACGTGCAGGTTTCATCAGAATGTTTTCTTTCACCGAAAAGCTCACGGCAAATTTAAAATTATATTTCGCAGATAAATTCCGAGAAATTCACGGTGCAAGCCCGGTTCGAATTCTCGTCTTATGCTTGAGAGGCGGTAGGTCCCCCTAGGCTACCACGACTCCGACCTCTCCATTCGACACACAACACATTATAATATCAAGTATAACAAAAATAGCAGAAGGCTTTGCAACATATAACTCGGTGCACCTCTAGGTTCAGAGGTGTACCGGTTGCTTATAAAATACTAGCAAAGCTTTAAGAGTTGAGTAACAACAATCGCATTAGACTTCAGTGGATTATATGGTGTGTGGTAATGAAGAGGTTGACCGTTTGGCGAAATTAGCTACATATCAAGGCCAGAAGTAGACCTACCATACTGCCTTTTTATCGCAAAATTCTCTCAAAGAATTAGAGATGTGGACACTAATAGAGTGGTGGTAATACGTGGTATAAT